TTGAAAAAATGAAAACATAAATAATTTATAATTCCTACAATTGAATGAACAAATATTCTGCAATTTCTTAAAGTTTTCCTTTTTTTTGTTTTTTCATATATTACAAGTATTACAATTTAAATGAAAAACGAACGCCTTGTGTCCTGTCCGAAAAAATCTACATCATAAACATTAAGAGGATGTAAATATATGTTTGTACAAATATATAAAAAATCTTACACACGAGTTACATTTATGTATATTCTAAGAGATTTTGAATGTACCAGTATAATATTATGTATATATATACATATATGTAATATTCATACATAAATAGCCTAAGTATCCTTTGAATTCACTATTCAACATACATGATAATAAGGAAAACAAAACAAACAAATAAAGAAAACTTAAAATGAAAGAAAAGTGTGTTTTCTTCTCGTTTTTTATTTTTGCTGTTTTTTTTTTACCGTATACACATGAAAGATAGGGGAGGAAGATGTATAGAAAAAAAAGCCGAATGAGTATTACAGAAAATAGCCATTGGGGATGTGAAAAAATAAAAGATGTAACATAACAAACTAAACAAATTTCATATACACATATAAAATACATTGTACGTATAACTGTATGTAAAAGTAAATGGTTTCAAAAGGATATTAAATGTATAAAGAACACATATGAATAAAGAATAAAAAAAAAAGGATCAAGCATATCACGAAAAACATTATTTTTATAAGATTGGAAGGACGAAAAATTTTCTAAAACAAAAAGAAAAATAAAACTACAAATATATAGAAAGAGAGAGGATGCTTAGCTTTTGTAAAGATTTTGTGATATAAAATTTAGAGGGGAGGTAATAATCATAATAATGGTCGCCGTAGAGCATTGTGTGTGCAATCTTTCGTGTCATGATGTTGATAGTAGTAGTCATTATACTCATATATAGTGTATTATATATATACAAAGAAAATATTCCGACCCTTGATAATTTTTCTCGCGAAAATATAATATTTTTATGTCATATGTCCCTGTTTTTACTAGTATTTATTTACTGCTTTTGGAAGTTATTTTAAACAGTAAAGACTCGATGTCTTGTAAATTAAATACAATTTGGAATACTTAACAATAAGAAAAAATAAAATTATTTTTGTTAACACTTTTTTAAACAATTAGATTATGTCTCGACTGTGGTAAAATTCTATTATCATTTAAAAAATATATTTATGAAGATTTATTACCGAAGCGCCTTGATAAATTCGGCATAAATTGACAACTATTTGTAGAGTTAAATGAACTTCATTCCTCTCTCAAGGTATAATTTTAATTTAAAAACTGGTAATGAAATATTTTGACCCACATATTCATAATATGTTTAAGTTAGTACTCAATACCCTAAATATTATTTATTATTCAATTTTTTTGGGGTACAGGGTGAACTCAATTAGTGTATTTGATAATAATCACTGTAAATTTTATTTCACTGTAAATTATATTTCTGACATACAAATTTAAATAAATATAAAATATAATATGTATATATAGTACGAGTATTATTGTATTTTATAAACGTTAGTTGGAAAATATAAAAAGAATAAGAAGAAGGAGAAAAAAAGGCATATAGTCCCTATAGGCTTATGATTCGGCTTTCAAATTATTTGGCTATTTTCTATATTATTATTATGCAGATATATGTTTGTGCAAATATTCGTTAATATGTACATATTTAGTAGTAGTTGTAGTAACAAGTAATTTTGTTTAGGTCATATACGAGAAAATTACTTATAGAAGTTCTAATGTAGCTTTTAACTTATAATTTAAATGAATAAATAAAATATAAAAGTTTATAACTTTCTATTTTATAATCTTGTGGTTTTTCAGGACTTCGAAAACTAGACCATGTTATACAACTAGTAAAAGTTCAATGTTGAATTGTTATTTGTAAATCACATTTTAGAAGGGCATTACCTTGATAACGGTAATATGTAAAGTGGGAGTTGGGACTTTAGGGGTACTTGGAAATCGGGAAGATTTTACAAATAAATCACTCATTTTTGATTTATTTTTTTTGAGTGATATTTGAAGATGACGTAAAAAAAAAAAATAATTTTTGAGTAATTTTTTTCCTGAATTTTTTTAGCTAATTTTAAATAGTGACTTTTTTTTATGATGTCCTCTTTATTGAGAATTTGAGTAACAATTTTAAGTGAATTTTTTTAAAGGAATATTTTTATAAAATATTCGTAGGTTTTGAGAAATTTTTTTAGTAGAAATTATTAAGTAACATTTTCGTTTTTAGAGAAATACTTAAATTTTTTACTAAATCTTAAGTTTTATACTAAAAGATGATGTTTAAAACTTCCTGTCTATTTTTCTATTCGCGTCATTTAAAATTTCTTCGAAGTTTGGGATTGCAGTTCAGTGAAAAAAAGTAAATTAGATAATTTGAATAATTGCTATATTACAAAATTTAAATGCGCAATCTGTGGGAATAAACCGGTTTCAAGTTACATAATCAAATTACGAATTTATACATGCGTACAGTTTGTATCTTAATCCGTAATAAAAAAATATTTTATATTAACTTTCTGTTTTTAGTTAGCAGATTTTCGGCATGAGAAATCAAAGATCTTGATATCGCTAATTTAACATTTCGTAACAATAATTAGCCTCATTTCGAATTTCTTTCTCTGAGTGTCTGAAATAGTTCATATTTTAAAATAATTGAAGTATAAATTTTATTTTCCCTATAAATTCTTCTGTCCTAATCTTTAAATAATATTTGAAAATATATCCAATAAATATATACAATAACTTTCGCATATACAAATATCGTATATATTGAAAGTGTTAGAATAAATTCGAATAACGATTTGGTATAACGCTATTAAAAAGTGACCACATAGAGGCATAATATATAATATAAACGTAATTACAACATCCTTATAAATATATGTACATACATACATGTACGTGCGAAAGTATATATACAATATATCCATCATATTAAAATTGTGTATGTATAATATAAAGGAATATATTATAATTTTTAGTTAACAAAAATAACGGTAAAGTGAATTCTAAAAAAGGATAATATTACATATATGTACACATATATTTTTGACTTGGCATATTTTCTCATACTTACACGAAATGAAATTAAATATGAAATAGAAGGGGGATAAGAAAGGAGAAGAAAAGAAAGACATCGTCGCTGTCCTCAATGTTGGCATAATAATCAGTATAACAATCATTATCATCAACAATAACATCAAAAGCAATAGCATCGATTCAGTAGCCATAGACTATAATTTTCTTTGTATGTTTTTCTTTCTCTTTTTATTGTTTTCTTATTTTACATGTTTCTCGTCCTTTTTATGTTACTTGGTTGCTATCCTTTTTATTTAATTTCTTTTTTGTTGTTTTTTCTTTCCATATTTTTGCTTTATTTTCCTATATATCGTTGTCGTCAGAAACGTTTTAAGAAAATTTGGATCAATAATTTTGAAGCTTGACCAGAACACCGTCACGTTCTCTACACTTGTTAGTTGTTTTTTTTTTTTTTTATTTTTGTTTTGGTTTTACTTTTGCTTTTTTGAGTGTTGTTTTTCTTTTTTACTTTGGTTGATAAAATAAAGTATTAGTCCTTAAATATTTTTAAGTATAAAAAAAAAGCAGTTAAAAAATTATTTTAAAAATATACGTACATGTATGTATGGATTTTAGATGTGTGTATAGAAAATGAGCGAAATTGAAATAGTAAAACACCATACATTCATATTTATATAAAATTTAAAGGTGTATATAGATATTTTGACACATACACATTTGATATTTTCACTAATATATATACATACTTAAAAATTTAAAAAAAGGTAATTTTATTCATGGTAGCGTTTTTCTTCATGTCTCTCACAGTACCGGAAAATATCTTTTTTTTGCAGCTATTATTATTTTGATTCCGGGGTTTTTGTTGTCGATATTTGTTGTTTCTAATAATTCAAAAGATATTTCTAAAACCTAAAATTATACATGCCGTACATAAACATATAAACTTACATTAAGACACATATGTATACATTTGAGAATAAATATTTGTATTTTTAACTACACTATATACACACACTTTATTAACTTTATTAAATGGGCAAAATATTTGATATGGTAATTAGTTTCTACTGTCCTAATCCTTTTTTTCTATTTTAATAATGTATTATATTAAAATATACGCATATAAAGATGTTGTAGAATAAAACGTGAAGGTGGTTTAAGATTCTAACAAAAAAAACTTTAAAAATAAAAAAAGAAAACAACAATAAAATAATAAAAATTTGTTACTATAAAGGCAAAGCTGGCCGAAATGAGGATAGATAGGTATTAACTATTAAAGTTATAAACGGTTCTTATATAAATACCCACATTATTTTTAAAACGTAAAGTACAAATATTCAAAAAAAAAAGATTAATTTTATGAGTCCCTTAGTTTCCTTAAGTCTAATTTTAACTCAGTTAAGTATCATTATTGTAATGAATTTCGTAACGGTTTGTTGTAGCATATAAATCCTATGTAAGAATTTATTTATTTATTTTTTTTAAAACTTCAGTATATCAAATTCATGAAGAATAATACGGATACGATAAGATTTTAGAAATTTCTCTCAATAGGATTATAATTTTTGCGTTAAAACTGCCAAAAAAATTATATTAATTTTAACCTCATCTCCGAGTAAGAGCTTTTTGCCAAAACTTTAATCAAAATTATTAGATTCACTATTCAATTAAAAGCTTTGCTTTTTTAACCGAATTTAAAAAAAAAACCCGAATTTTAAAGAAGGTTATGTATTTCTTTGGCATATTCCAATGTTAATGTTTGGTTAGCAAAAGCGACCAGGCCAATTTTCAAAATTTGCATTCGACAAATATAATATTTCGAAGAGAACCTTGTGAGATTTGATTGATAACTTTTATGCTCCAAAAGCGTCATTTTTAGAAATAAATCCTATGTATCGATTTCCTCAAAGAAACTTGGGGGAACAATTTCAGCAAATTTAACAAATATTTCTTTTTTGGCAATTTTGTTTACAACATTCGCGCAGGTTTTAAAAGTATTCAGGACATTTGATAAATCAGAATTTAATCATAAACGATCACATAAACCATTATGGCATCGAAATCTTGAAGCATCTAATAGATAATTGTCTAAAAAATAAATTATATAAATAAAACTAAATTTACTGCAAAAATCTTGGATAGTAAATTGTTTATGCATGTTAAAAATGTTTTCATCAGGACATAAATACTTTAACAAGTTACTTATTGCATATTACTTTACTTCTAAAGATACTATTTACTAAAAACGTCTCCAGATTCTCGCAAAAATTTCTAAAATTAAAAATACCTATATGCCTATATGCACATATTTAATCTAAACCTAATACCTATATATACATATTTATTCCACATAGTATATAAATATTTAAATTCAAAATAAATTTACAAGAATCACAAAACAGATGGGGGAACCGCAACTTTGGAAAATTGTAATTCTGAAAATCTTCGTGCAAAAACCAATAATCAAAGTAAAAATGGAATGTATAAGAATAAAATTATAAACAATTTTTTCGCGATGTTAAAAACACCTTGTTTCAATATTGGTTTCAACCGCAACTGTAGTATTTTAAAAATAATTTTTAATCTAACCACATCAACCACAAATACCCATAAAATATTTTTGCAACTGATTTTAATATATTTTCCGAATTTGAAAAATACAAGATGGGAGATTTTTTCCACCACAAAATGAGACATATTCATGTGGTTTGGGTTGTGGCCAGTAGTTTTGATTGCGTGTTCCAGGTTAAAAATTACAGAATTTATGTAGGATAACGTATATAAAGTAAATGTGAACTAACAAATATAAATTAAAGCTTATTTAAGTCTAACCATATCCTAACTTATACCTATCCCTTGGTTTCAAGTAAATACAAGGATTGGGTCTACAATGATGTTACAATCACCTCTGATAGCTTGCAGCCTGAGCAGAACCGTCACTCATCTACACAAAAGGGATGAGTCGCGTTCCAGTAGAACCCCTTTCCCTGCCCTTTAGGTTCAAATAAATTTAAAATAGTATATTTTTTATTAACAAATTTACTGTAAGTACCATGCTCTTGAATTTGAAAGAGGATTTATTATTATCTACTTCCGCTCGTAAACGATTCAACCAAATTGTACCGGGTTCATATCCCTTAAAGTACAAAATTTTTCCAAATCATTTTTTCTTTTAAAATGAGTTTTTAATTAGGAAAAATTTAAAAGAGAACGACAGAAATCAAGAAAAAGTGTAATATGTTCAAATCATGCGATTAAATTAATAAGAATCAGTAAAAATTAAGTAAATAAATTTGACAAATTGAAACTTCATTTTCCTATTTGAAATTTTAATTTCGTCTTCCTTTCAGCTGCAGCTATTTCTATCAAGAACAAAGAACAATTAGTTAAGAATACTTTTAAAGACATAGTAATGTATATATATTCAAGTTATTCAAAGCTTTGATTGATATTCGGAATCTAATTAAAATATTCCTGGATATTTCTTTCCCTTATTCCTGATGTTGTTCTCTGCGTAACTATATCATTTCAAAATATATACAATTATAATTCATTATATTTTAAAGAATTACATTTTCATACAAATATGTTTAATATCGGACACCATAACATCATGTCCATCGCAAACAATTTCAATAAAGAAATTTTATTCTACATATTATAACACATTATTCCATTATATATTATTTATAAGCATATGAAAAATATTCTTAGCGTCCTCGTATTTCCATAAAATCCATTTCAGGTTTTAGGTACATATTACAGTTACTTACATATACATACATGTTATATATGCACGAAGCATATATCAAATATTATTATGTACATAAAATGCAATGTTCATCTTTAGTTTTAAGTGTAAAATTTTTCCTTAAGTGGCGATTCTAAAGTATGTTCTCATTATAGAATGCATCTTTTCATCATAGCCATAACTATTATCATCGTCAACTTTATCATCATCATCATCAACATCATCAACAGCAGCATCACTCAATGAAGCTTTTCGAATTTTCCCTATTTTATTCTTTTTCTTTCAATTCACATGTAGGGTAAAATTTATATTCATGTAAATGTTTATATGTATATAGATATAAACATATTATATCTAATTATTATATGTAAGTATGTATGTTGATTATAATATATATACTGCATCATCATGCAGTATTGTACAATAATGCCACTTTTTGAATCCTTCATTTACAGAAGATTTGAAAATCAGAAAAATATAAAAAATAAAATTAAAACAAAATAAGCAAAAATATCATAGTTCGCGTTATTCATTTTCTCTGGTGTTTCTTTTATAGCTGTCAAGAGTTGATTCGACACTATAGTTTTATATTATAATAGTGCACTATCTTCCTGCCGTTTTTTGAGCTTATTCTCGAGAAAACTAAAAAAAAAATTATATAAAAACAGAACAAAAGCAAGAAGGAAAGTCATTGGAATAATATGCCGCTACAACTCACATTTTGTATGTGCTAGATAAGAAAAAAAAATGTAGGTATATGTTTATATGTATGTATACTTATGTAATAAGTAAAATAGAAGAAAAAAAAGAAAATAAGGAAAATAAAGGACTGAAGGAGACTTAATGCCGTTGATTTGGATGCCACAGCAAAAATATTGTGGTGGAAAATGTCTGTTTTTAGTTGTTTTTTTCCTTTCTTTTTTTTTGTTCTTTTATACTGAATCGTATTGGTTTGTGGTGGTTACTGGCAATGGTAATTCATCATGGTGGTAATAGTGGTGGTGGTGGTCTTCTTTTTATTATAATTTTGTTATTATCTTTTTCTTTTCTTTTCTTTATTCAATGCAGCATTTGAGAATTTTTGTTCTGCTGAGATATGAAGTTTTTGTATGCACCAAAGCACAGCGAAAAATTTGTTGTTCTTATTATTTTCTTTTTTATAACAATCCGCTTGAGAATTTATTTCACTTTTTGATATTAACTTATAATAAAAATAAAGAATGAAAAAAGTTCTATTATTCAAAATTTAATAAGACATTCATAACGTGATTTTAGTTAGAAAAAAATTAGAAAGTACATTAAGTACTTGAGGGAGAACTGTTGAGATAACATGAACTATTTTAATTTCAACAAAAATTTCATGACAATGAAACGCTGTCAAATTGGTGTCGAACAGATTGAACGATTACATTTCGAATGATATTTTAATATCAAAAGCTGTTTTCTTACTTTCTGAATAGAAAAATCTGAATGAAAGAGGAAGCTGAATATAGAATAAAATATTAGTGAAGAGCCCTTAGAAGAGTTAAGGAGAGAAACTATATATTTAGTTTTAGTATAGTTTTAGAATAGTTTAGGTACACCTTTATTTATTTTATGAAGATATGCTAAATAATTTGCTCAAATTGCGCCTTTGTCAAATTTCTGATCACTTTCGATTCTAAAATTTTAAATAAAAGATCGCCAAAATCTAAAAAAATTTTAGCTAGATCTCATCAAATGGTATAGCTAAAAATTACTCTTAAGATAATAAATCTTAAATTATTTTATAATTTTCTATATAGAAATTTGGCAATACTGTAAGTTTTTTTTGAAGAACTCGGTTATTTTAATTTTGACTGTTTTTTTATATCTGTGAAACCCTTCCAATAGTTAGTTCGATTTTAATTCGTAATTCGTAGCATTATCCTATAATGATGTTCCAATTAAAATTATTTTTTCTTACCTATATCATTGATTGTTGTCCTTGTCGCCATTTGAAAATTATTTCCTCTCCAATTCCATTTGAATCTCAATTTTTTATAATTTTTTTTTTTTATTTTTTTTATTTTTATTTTTTACTTCATTCAATATAATATGAATACATGATTATATTTGGACGATGATGATAACGTGAAAAAAAAACGACTCCAAAACTGGAGAAGTACCAGTGGAGTTTAAATAAGAGTAAAGAGAAGAAAGAAAAACAAAATAAATGTGAAAATAAAAAACCAAAAAAAAAATTTTTTTGTAAGAATTGACAAGATTCTGCAGTGAGTTAAAGGAATAATATTCTAACTGTACATGGTATTCTATTCCTTGTATAAGTAGATATTCATTCACATATGGAAACACCTTCTTGTGTCCTTTGAAGCGGAATTATCTTCGGTTTCCGTCGATCGATTTTCTTTTCCCTGGCCACTACATATCAGAAAAAGTAAAAGGAAAGAAAAGAATAAAACAACAATAATAATAATAACGACAAAAACAACAACAAATATAAAAGCGAAAAGAATGAAAAAGAAAAAAATATTTAAGAAGAGAGGACTGAAATATCCCCGGCTGAGTTCAATTTTTTTCTTGTTTTTTATTGTTATTACTTTATTTTCTTTTTTTTTTCGTTTCGCTTATTTTGCTTTTATTTTTTATAATATTGTGTTCTTTTTTTACTGCTACTACTGGATATTGGCGAGCATATAAAATATGCGCGTTCTGACATATGGCGCCTGCTGGACACCAAAAGCACTTTCAAGTCATATATGGATTGAAGAAAGGCGAAAATAAAAGCAAAATAAAATACTCAGCTAAAAATGAAAAAAAAAAAAATGAAAATAAGAAATATGAAAAGAAAAAGATTTTGTTTTTTTTTTTCTTTTGCTTTTTATTGAGCCAGGATATTCGCTATTTTGTTTTTTTTTCACTACTGATGATATTGATGTTGTCGCTGTGTGAATATTGATTGTAGGTATGCGCTATATGTACAATAACTGTTATTTTTATTATTATACAACATGTTTATATGCAAAATATTTCAATTCTTGTTATATATGAACTATATACATACATACATACAATATGTTGTAACAATGACTGTATTTTTCAATATTATGAAAAGGATGCATGCTGACTTTTGATTGAATTTAAAATCTTCAAATAATCTACATATGTGTATATACGGATGCGAGTATATGTACTCATAATATATATGTATAATATAATGTGAAATGAGATATTTTTTATATGACGATGTTTGTATGTACTTGCGTATATTCTCTTTTAAAACTAATAATATTATGATAAAAAAAAATGTATGACATTCATGTTGTATTAGGTTATAAGAAAAAACATGAAATA